CGGCTGGTGGGTTTTGATTTTCCAGCCTTGCAGTTAGCAGCAGCCCAGCGCATAACTCAAGGCGCCCCCCGGGCTCCTTGGCTGGGATCTTAGATGCATGAAAATCTTGGATATGCATCCGAGTTTTGTTTCCATCCGCATGGTGCCTGAGGAGGACACACCGTCACAGAGAGGCTAAGTGACTCGCCTGTCGCCACACAGAGTCCACCTTCAAAGCGCGCATGCCCAACTGACCCACGCTTGGCAGAGAGGACACACTGGACCAGTCGCCCGCCCAGCTTCTGCGAATCACTCACCCTCTTTCTGCTGAATGGCACCGGGTCCGTCTGCTGCCCAGGACCTCTCGAAAGTGCTGAAAACAAAGTTGTTAGTCTTTCGGATGCAGGGGCGCCTGACCCAGGCCACGACCGACGTCAGCGTGTCAAGTCGTACGTCAAATGAGAAGACTGGAGAAAAGCCAGTGTAGTTGAACCACGGTGACGACAGAGAAGGTTGAAGCAGGACCGCCAAAGGACCAAACAGTCCCATCTGGAAGCAGTGCAGCCAGAACGCTCCTTAGGGGCAAGAAATTCCCAGAGGCAAAGTCTCACGTCCTTTGGACCCCCGGTCAGGAGAGACCAGTCCCTCGAGAAAGACACGGTCTTGGATAAAGTGGAGGGGCATCAAAGGGCCCCTACAACAGCAGCCCCTTCCTTTGAGGAGTGACTTCAGTGTCCGGGGCCCAGCATCCATCGCATCCACCATCTCTGCCCTGCCTGCCTCCAGCAGTGTTGAAAGGACAAAGGAACTCAGGTACGTGGCAGCACTTTGAAAAGGACAGCCTGCTGCACAAACCCGCGGGCAGAAGGGACAATTCAGCAATCAGTAGCATGGCAGCCAGCTTGTTTCTCTCAAGTTCCCGAGCCCCTCGACACATGTGAAGGGTAATGTCCCCACACCCTGTCGAGTGCCCAGATCACTGGGTACCTGCTGATGGAGCCAGCGCACTGGAGCTGGAGGAGCCACGTGGAGACCCACACCAGCACCGAGTTGCTCCCACCACCACTGGATCCACAAGACTTTCCACCCACTGGCCTGTGATCTTCCTGCACTCGGCGTCATTGCATGTGTTGCATGAGTCTGAAGAGGAATTCATAGACTGGTATTGGACATACGGGCTAATAACGGACTTATGGACTTGTGGACTGGGCTGGGATGTTTTCTTAATGTACGATTGCTCTTTGGTGTGAAGCTCTTTCTTATACACACGAGTGTCTATGAATTTGTTTCTCTGGTCCACCTGGACTGATACAGTGCCACTCAAAGCACATTGTTTCTCCCAGAGGATGCAGGAAGGTGTCGCTGATAATACTGTAGGCGGCCTTTTGGAATCTACTGATTGTATAAACACAGGCCTGGCGCTATTTATAAACACATCCCGCAGTCGGCTGTGTTGGGGGTGGACAGAGAGCATGGGGAATCACCTTTCCATCATTTATTTGACTTGAAAGAGGGTGTCATTGGGGTTTGCCTCTGTACTCTGCTCCCGATCTTTCTAGTCTCCTGCTTCCCAACATTGTCACCCCAGGCTGCTCCATCCTCTCCTTACTTCTGCCTCAAGGCTAACCTAGTAGCAGTCAGAGGTGGTCGCCTCTGGGCAACACCACGTGTGTCAGGGTTTTCAATGGACGGTCGTTTTGTTTTATTTTGTTGTAGGGGTAGGTTGCCAGGCCTTTCTTTCAAGGCACTTCTGGGTTTAGGTTGGCCCTTCTCTGCTTGTCCCTGTCGCCTGAGGAACAAAGTGATGGAGCATAAGGAAGTAGGACTCTCACTTGGTGACCTCGGGTGACTTTGAGGAGCCGGTCTGTAGGGTCCCTCCCCTGATCTCATTTTATCCATCTGTTCACACATGGTGGGGCAGGGTCCACGTGGCTAAATACTAGGGTGCTACCATTTCGATCAGCAATGGAGCCCCCCAGTTGCTCCACAGGAAGAAGAGACGGCGGTCTGCTACAAAGATTTGCAGCCTTGGAAATGCCACTCCGTCCTGTAAGGTATCTGTGAGTCAGCATCAACTGGAAGACAACAGGCTTGGACTTGAATGGAATCAACATACAGAACCCAGGGGGGGCACAGCGCTAAGTGCTCAGTTGGGAACCACAGGTCTCTCAGAAGAAAGAGGCTGTCTGCTCCCCTAAAGAACATGTTGTTGGTGAGGGCCATCGATCGGTTCCGACCATAGCGACCCCGTGCACAACAATGAAACACTGCCGGGTCTTGGGTCATCCTCACCATTGCTCCTGTGTCTGAGCCCATGTTGTCGCCACTGTCCACCCATCTCCCTGAAGCCTTTCTCTTTTTTGCTGGTCCTCTGCTTTCCCAAGCATGATGTCCTCTCCTGACAACATGTTCAAAGCGGGGAGACAAAGTCTGGCCGTCCTGGCTTCTAAGTAGCATGCTGGCCGTCCTTCTTGCAAGCCCGATTTGTTCTTCTGACAGCCCGTGGTACTGTCATGTTCTTCACCAGTACCCTAAAGACGCACAGCCTTAGAAACCCCACGGAGCTGTTCTACTCCATCGGCCAGGGCCGCTGTGAGCGGGTTGACTCAATGGCCATGGGTCTGGATTTGGATGTAGAGGTTGATCTTTTTAAGATGTGCTCAGCCCCCTGGAGTCTAGGGTGGTGAAGGCGCTCTAATAAGATCAGCTAGCGCTTAGACAGAGCCATGGTGGTGCAGTGCTTACGCACAGGTTGGGCTTTGAGCCACGTGGTTGGCCGTTGAAGACTACCAGCAGCTCTGTGGGTGAAAGACTGGGCTTTCTACCCTAAACCATTACGGTCTTGGAGAGCCACAGGGGGCGCTGTGAGCTGCACTGACTCCATGGGGAGCAGACCCACAGGGGACACCGTGAGTCAGTACTAACTCCATGGTGGTGAGGAGACCCACAGGGGTGCCATAAGTCACTGAGCATACTTATTTGGAGCCCAGTCAGGGCTTGCTAAGTGTATCACATGTTAATGTTCTCCCGTGATGTCTTCACAACTGGGGGGTCAGTCCACCAACAGCAGGTAAGTCTGTTGGTCCCCACAGTGGACCTCAAGGACAGAGGCCAACCGCCCATAATGTTCCGAGGCTGTAAATCCTATGGAAACAGACAGCCTCATCTTCCTCCCATGGAGGGGCCCATGGGGTTGAACCACATAGTTCCCGTGAGCAGCCCAATGCTTAACCTGAGGCACTACCACGGGGAGTGAATCTAGGTGGTGCCGCTGCTGTAACTCCTCCCCTCTTGTTATTGCACGCGCCTGTTAGTACGCTACATGTTGGGCAGCTAACCACAAGGCCAGCAGTTTGAAACTACCGGCCCTCGGAGGGGAAAGGGAAGGCTTTCTGCTCCCATAGAGAGTTAGTCTTGGAAACTCACGGGGCCAGTCCTAACCTGCCCGATAGGGTATGCGTTGGAATCCACTCGATGGCAGTGAGTTTGGGGGAACTAAATATAAGCCCTGGTAGCAAAGTGGGTTGCGTGGTAGCTGCTAACCACAAGGTCGGCAGTTTGAACCCACCAACCACTCTGTGGGAGAAAGATGGAGGCTTTCTCCCCTGATAAAGAGTTAGTCTCGGAAATCCCACAGGCCCTTCCCCTGCCCTGTAGGGTCGCTGTGAGTTGGCATTAACTCAAACAGGCCCAAGTGACAGAGGACCGTTGTGGTCTCCGAGTCTCAGGTGGGGGTGGGGGTGGTCTTTACAGAGCCAGGTCCCCGGGCCTTTCTTTCAGGGCACTGCTGGAGAAGTCGAACTGCCAACCGTCCAGGTGGCACCCTACTCCCAGCTCTCCCCTGCAGGCATTGAAGCTCGGTGAAGAGGGCGGGTGAGGGGGCAGGGGAAGAGGAGGGGAGGGAAGAGAGGATGGTGGGGGAGGAAGTAAGGGGCGGGGGAGGAAGAGGAGCAAAGATTGAGAGGGAGGGGAGGGGGAGGGGGAGGAGGAAGAGGAAGGGGCGGAGGAAGTTGCATAAACTTAGGGCCTAGTAAAGCGGTCGGTCGAGTGCCCATTCCCAGTGTGTCGGAGCCGCACCGGGCCCTGCGGGAGGGCAGTGGTCCGGCTCTCCAGCCTACGGAAAAGCGGCTGACAGCCCATGGCGTCCCGGAGCGCGCTCTGAGTGTCTGCCTCTGCGCTCTCCACAGGAGATGGGCATTTCCCAGCGTCTGGGCATCCTCTAAGGCCGCTCCGCCAGCCTGCTGGTCCAGCCTTAAACTGGGAACCGGGGCTGACTCCTTCTGTACACCTGGCACTTGTAGTCACGCCCCACTCGGCGGAACCCCCAATCCCAAACCCTCTCGGCCTGACTGACGCAGCCTCCTAGCAATGAGACTCGGAATACTGGCTTGAAGCCCCGCCTCCCCACTGGCCTCGCCCCCGCGTCACTGTGTAAGAAAGCGCCTCGGCCCGGCCGCCCAATGGGGAGCGCGCAGCCGGAGCCCGACGCCCAGGAGCCCGCCCCCGGAGGCCCCGCCTAACCCG